CCCCCCCCCACGTATCTTGCACAATAGAGCAGCAATTCCACCATTGACAACCATTAAAATGCTTTGAAGCATTGAATTCGAATTTGGGTTTTAAAAAAATATTGTTTGTTTGGATTAGATGTTGCAAAGAATTGAGAATTCTCTCTACGTCTTCTCTATCTCTCAATCCCAAATTTCAGTAATGTAAAGCAAAGGAAAAAAGAGCAGCAATTCCACCATTGACAGTCATTAAAAAGTTTTGAAGGTTTGAATTTCGAATTTGGGTTTTCAAAAATCATTATTTGTTTGGATTGGGTGTTGTTACAAATAATTGGGAATATGGTTTGGAGTTTATATCTCAATTTTGAGGGATTTTGGTGAAGATTAGCCTTGATTTTGACTGAATTTCATATTGAAACTCGAAGAAGAAGAAGAAGAAGAAGAAGAAGAAGAAGAAGAAGAAGAAGAAGAAGAAGAAGAAGAAGAAGGAGGAGAAGGCATGGCATACATTATATTGCATAAATTGTAGTAAAATTGTAGAAAAATTATATTCTGTTGTGTATATATTTTCCTTTTATTTATTTAACTATTGTATGAAAGTTGAACAACATTGTATAAAAATTATATTTAAGTTGTATGATATTGTAGTTGTATATAACTGAGTAGAAATAATGTATGAAAATTATACATAAGTTATATAATATATAATTAGTTGTATGAAATTTATTTTTACTATGTATAAATCAGATAAAAAATATACAAAAGATATATTATATAAAATTTGTATTTAAGTTGTATATTATTGTAGTTGTATTTAACTGGGTAGAAATAATGTGTGAAAGTTGTAGATAAGTTGTAGATAAATTATATAATATATAATTAGTTGTATGAAATGTTTTTTTATTACGTATAAATTAGATACAAAATATATAAAAGACATATTATATAAAATTTGTATAAAAATTATATTTAAGTGGTATTATATTGTAGTTGTATATAACTAGGAGGTGAGAGAGGACTTTGGCAAATGTGTATTCGTGGATGTACATTGCTTTCTTCTCGAGTAGCTTTTGGAGAGAATCCAGATTCGACGCCATCTCCGATAGATTTCTGATCGCAGCGCTCCATCTCTCACTCCCCACGCCATCTCCGATAGTATGATTGAAACGTATGGTCTATTTTTTTGTCTTCCCCTTGTCTTTTCAAATGCTCAGCTTGATTTTAAAGGATTGCATTTTTATGGTAGCTTCCTTTTGATAAATACAGTGGTCAGCGACATTGTAAAAAAGAAAATAAGAAAAAGTTTATAAGGAAAAGAATATCTTTTTGCTTGCTTGTTATTTTCTTCCTTTGATTATTTTTTTAATTTGTTGGTATTTTTTTGCGATGTTGCTTGATGCAAACGAGTCTACAACGAGTTAAGCTTTCCAAAATTATAATAGTGAAGAAAAAAAGTAGTCAAGATATTTTAAGGCGGAAGAGAAATATGAAAAGAGAAGAGGAGAAAAAAAAAAGGGTGTAACTAAATCCCTTAATTGAAGGTACTAATAATGGATTGAGAACCTTTTAAGGTGAAATGTATATATTTTGTAAACAAAACTTGTGTAGGTAGAGTAATTTACTAAACATGAACATTTATGGTAATAAAGTTTTCAATACTATATAGGAATGAAAAAATCCCTTTTAAATAAGATAATCATATAACAACAACAACAACTCAATGTATTTTTAAAAGTGATATTTGAGAATGATAGGATGTACGCAGCCTTATATCTGTTCTAAGATGACAGATAAAAAGGTTGTTTATGATGGAGAGATATAATCATACGCTTAAACAATATAACTTTCTCACTTCTCACACATCCTAGTAAGGCTTGAATTGGGTCAAGTTCTCTACTCGATTGATTCATTTCTACTAATATATATAAGATAGTCAGCAAGAAAATGGATGTGCCTTGGTGTTGGAATTACTCTATTTTTATCTTTTTGTATCACTCTTGCTATTTGATGTTGTTTCTGTTTCGATTCTGTTATTATTATTTTTTCATGACTTCTTCACTACTATATTTTTTTTTTTCTTTAATGCAGTGATTTTGCTTATGATCCGTTGGAAACACCCTATCTACCTATACAAGATAAAGGTAATGTTTGCGTACATACTATCTTTTCCGGTCCCACTTATGAATTTCACTGAATATGATATTGTTTCCTTTAGAATTTTTTTTGGTTGGATCCTTTAGAAGTTTACAGTAAGTAGTTCCTTTCTAATCTTGTCAAAAGTGGATAAAAAGTGTTCAAGAATGTTTTCGTATTTAAGGTGAGACAATAAGAGTGAAAGTAGAGCAATTTTGAAACTAAAAGCAATCATTTGGATCTAAAAACTCAATTATTGTCATTTCATCACTGTGAAGCTCCATTATTTACTTCACGTGGTTCTGTTTTCTTTTTCTTTTTATTTATTGTTTTCACGGGCCAGACCCAACGGCCCATGTCATAAACCCTACCGCCAGTGAGGTTCTGCAATTTTTGCGGTGTTGACAGCTACGTGTTTTTTGTCTCAATTGCGCTATAAGGTGTGTCTACTTGCATTTTTCTAGTAATATATCGTGATCACCATCTATAGTATTTTCACTATGTTTATATGAGTGCCCAACACCATCCACTCTTGTACTAAATGGGGACAACAAAGTTGAGATCTGAACAATAGAATAATTTTAGGCTTGATCTCAACCACATAAGACAGATCTAAATCGGGTTATGAGATATTAACTCTCCTTTGATTACTTTCAACTCGAATTATGCATAAATACTTTTAAAAGAATATTAAAATACTATAGTAAAATCATAAGTATGCTGAGCTCACTAACTCTAAAATCTAAGATTTACATTTATTACGCCATGACGGCAATTTTTTTTTTTTACATTGTTGTTGCTACTGATTATAACTTTATTTCCATTGTTCCTTAAGCCGAGCATCTATTGGAAATCACCTCTTTACCTTCACAGGATAAGGGTAAGATTTACATACACATTATTCTTGTTGGCCAAAAAATTTCAATTTAGCTATTTCCTTGTCCTTAATCACTGACTAATGATGTTTAACGATCTAATAAATACACCAAATATGACTGAGTATTGACGAAATATGTAATAAAACAGTTTCTATTTGTCACCTTTTGATATTGTTCAAAGAATCTTCTTTGGAAATGGAACTAGCATTTATTCTTCAAAAGATCCAAAAAGTTTAGAAGGAGAAGGGTATGAATCTCACACAAACTTTCTTGGTATGCTATTATCATAAGCTCCTTTAATTACACAAAAGATTAGGATCACAAAAATTGTTCTCCACTTAGAAAAGCAGGGGATAGAGCATGCAAAATTAGGAAGCTGTTCGGTCCTTGTAAGGTTCTAACTTCTGCACATCTAGAAACATTACATTACAAACATCCACAGTCTAAAAGACTTGGAATACAGAAACATCACCAAAATATAAAACAAATGAACTCTTGTAAGCGCTGCTTTCATCGGTTCTGAAGCATGGTTTCATTGCAGTATTTCTTGAAATTCAAGCATTCTTCAACAAGGAAATCGCTACAAAATTGATTTCAACAAGTGGTATTAGCGACCTAAAGAGCAAACCTTCCCAACTATACAAGCAATAACAAGTGGGAACTTACAAGATCCGCTCAGCCATATCTGATATTTCCCATCTGGGACTCCATGGATATTCAGTAATCACCGGAGACTTGATGGGCAGAGCTTGAGAATTAAAGTGCTATACAAACATGCCGGTGCACCACACATGCACAGAGATGAGCAGTGAGTCAATTGACAGCACCGTCAGAATATTTTAGGCAAAGTAAGCACAAAAAAATGAGAGGGCGAGCAAAAGCTGAGAAGTTTTGCTCCTGTTTTATCACGGATGTGTGGGCGAGATTTGGAGCATAAGCACTTATCTTTTTCACAAAAACGGTATGTGAATGAGAATACTATAGGCTCATGAAGACAATACTTAAAGATGCTTAAGTATTGCAAACTACCAAACTAAAATATTAGAAATCCCATCATGTCAATGAACTTTCATAAAATAAGGTGCATGGAGAAAGAACTTAAAATATGGAAAAGGAAAGGCGGCATCAACATAGTTGAATGGTGCCAAACTATTTTACCTGCGAACTCTGAAACATCAAACTTGGCTGCTGCTTAGGGAACTGAAGTGGGATGGCAACATGAACCTAACATATCAAGGGCCTAGTAAGATATATTTACCAATAGTTGCTACATCAATAAAACATTCCAGATAAAAGCAGCACAAATGATGATATTCAATCATGGGGAAATGGTCTTCGGTGAGAATTTAAGACATAAAACTTTTGCTTATCTCGTGGAAGAACACAGAAAAGAGCAACACGATATGCTGGACAAATTGCAATTATAGGTAGGACCATGACATGTTTTTCTATGTTTTGTTGAGTTATTCTACCATCGACACAATATGTTTTGTTGGTAAAGTTGTTGTCATGTGACCATGAGGTCACGAGTTCGAGCCATAGAAACAGCCTCTTGCAGAAATGCAGGGTAAGGCTGCGTACAATAGACCCTTTGTGGTCCAGCCCTTCCCCGGACCACGCGCATAGCGGGAGCTTAATGCACAGGGCTGCCCTTTTTTTGTTGAGTTATTCTAAGAGATTCATTGTCTATCTTGTGTTCAATGCTAAGAGTTTGCATTAATTTCAAATTCTAACTCAATTTCCCACAATTTTCAAGGTAACAAGACTTCTTCCTTTTGCCCCTCTTCTCTAAAGAAGCAAACACTGAAACTTATGCACCCATTCCACCCAAGCATATGTCTTAAATAGCCAAAAATAAGATTCTTTCAAATTTCACATCAAGAGAGAAATTTCTTCTGTGTGTTTGTCTGCATATAAGTCAATGGAGACCATACCAGAAAAGTAAATACCCCAGAGGAAGATAGAAAAGTCGCTTTCCTGCAGAAAACCTGGCATAAAAAGAAAGGAGCATTACAGCATGTTATTCTATCAGCAAACATACAATTACAATGGAATTAAGGTCGCATACTGGATCGGCTTCTACTGGCCTTCCAAAAAGAGGAGCTAATGCCATAATGAGCTTCCTTCTACTTTCAACGGATGCAACTGCATCTTTAATCTGTCAAGAGTAGATGGACAAAAATGGAAAGAGGAATTCAACAAAAAATAATTTGGTATTTTATTTTTATTTTTTTTAAAATTATTCGGCTTGAATTTTTATGGATAAAAACTAGTGAAGCTAACCTGCGATTCAAGCATTTCTTCTAAAGTTGGAAGGTACTCAGCCATGCACCTAGATTTATTAATTTATAAAGAAAAGAATTATGAAGATGAAATGACACAGCAACTTTGTTGGAAAGGAAAGCAGAATTTGGCATCCCACAAATAGGAGAAAGGTGGATTAGATTGCCAGCTTCTGCAACAGTATTCAGAACTTACATTCCATCCAACCATGCAGGAAGCCTAAAATCATCAATTGAGAATAGAGACTTCAATTCAGAAGAAGAAACCAATTTCAAACGTGGAGCAGAAGGAGCACTGGAGTATTTTCTGCCAATCGGATATATAACCTGTCACATTATTAAAGCTAATCAAATCAGAACCAGGAAAGAGAAGGAGAAATTACAAGCGAAAAATGCAATTAAGCAAAAAAATGTAACCACAACGACAAATTACAAGCCAAAAAGACAATTTGACCTACAAAAACATTCCATTTTCAATAACACTTAAATGATGCAGCATTAAGAATGAGATGAAAACAAGTAAACAACAAAAGATGCATGGCGCTCTTTCACAATTATTTTACCTCAGCAAGATACACAAAAATAAGGTAGGGCACAAATATCCATGACAAATGTGTCTCGATGCTCCAAAATGATGTCATGCTTATATTCCTTCAATCAATGCTTTCTCCTATTGTGGTTCTCTACGAGCCTAATTTTTATAAAACACAATCTTCATTCTTTTAATAGGTTATATGTATTATTTTTACAACTAAGCTATTTCAAAAGAAAGCAAACTATAAATATATTGTAACGACCATGACATAAACCATAGACCTTTTTTAATTTATTCCGGAAGATATGAGGATCTACTAGTGTCTTCGTCTTCTGTTCATATATACAGAGAAATATAGGCAAGTATGGCAGCATTATTCAGAAAGCCCACCTGTAAGTATATCTTTTGCTGATGGCGCCATGTGGATCCAACAACCATTTTGTTCAAATCCAAATCCAGCAAAGGGACAGCGAATTTAACCTCTTCTGGCTACACTACAATTTAATGGCATAGAACCATCCATATAGTCAAGATCAAGTGTTATGCAGGAGAATCATTTCATGTAAGAGCAGAAAACGGGATTACTTAATGCAGGTGTTAGTTACAGTGGAGTACCTTATCAACATTTGAACTCAGAGACATTTCAATTCCCTGCAAATGATTAAGAACAGAACAGTGTATTAACTACAATTTGTTATAACTTGAGGAGAAGAGGAGGGCGTGGGGCAACGACAACTCTTTTCAACCCCTTCCCACTCTATGGAAATCTTTCAATCGAATCAATTAGGCAAGAAAATCATCAAGAATAGAGTTAATTCATGCACTCAATTGAGCCGTATAAATCCACCATGATAATGCTAATAGTTAAAACTATAAGCACTAGACCATCAAATACCTAAGAATTGAAATGCAGAATCTTTAGGCGACAGGAAAAAAGTGACTGTGACCTTTTCAAGATCCAACTCACAACATAATGTATCCTTTCAGAACAATTTGGTCTGCAGTCAACAAATCTTCCGACTGTCAGATACAGCTAGTTTCAATATACACCTTACTAATCAACCAAAGACACTCCCAATACTGAAGTTGAAATCTATGGATGTATATAAATAGCATACTGAGAATTTATACAATTTAGAGAGTTAAGAAACTATTGCTACAACGTCCTCTCTCCAGAATTGACAATGCCTCCACTGATTCCCAGTAAGAATTTCAGAATTTGAGGATGTATAGAGTTCAGAATAAATGCTCTCTACAAGAACTACCATGATGCCTAGAATCTATAGAGTTTCTCTTTCAGCTTTTGTTTTTGCTTAATGAAGTATTATTTTCGCTTCTTCTTCATAAAGAATCAAGTACAATTTGCAGTCAGACAAGCAAGCCCGTACTCCTAAAGCAATAAGTAACCTAGCTCCCCCAGAAGGAACTTCTGATCCCATATCCTCTGCTCACACTGGAAGCAACTTAACAGCCTCCAAGCCACAAAAACCAACAAGCTCACAAGTTTTGGAAAAGAAAATTGAAGCTAATTTACACAACACAGTTTCAATTTTACAACTCAACTAAAACCACAACGATCATCGTTCTACTACAAAATTAGGTGAATCACGCCAAACAACAATGTGATGATCAAACTGGAAGCTTTACCTCTCTGGCGAGCATTGTGCTGATTTCAAACTTCAACCTGTCATCATCAACTTCTTCAACTCTTTTCTTTTGATACGCTTTGTACAACTCCCTAACAACCACATAAACTAAAGCTCAGCTCTTCTTTACCATTTTTTACGAAAAAGTTACTACTTCTCTTCATAATAAATGCTCTGTAAGTAAGCATTAATAAACAGTAAACAGAACACCTGAGTTGCAGAACTAGAGAAAACAGACGAGTCGGGTCTCTACTATTCCAATCAGTAAGAGGATTCTTCAATGATTTTGAGTCACTAGCTTCGCCAATAACACGATAGGGCCGAAAATTTTCATCTTCCGGCCCAAATATAACATCTGGTGCTGCCAACGGATACGCTGCATTATAAATCACATCCCCTGCCCCAAATTCAGGTAGTTGAAACAGTTAAGAAGAATGTAAATTAGAAAAATACAACAGCTGATTGAAACGTATATTAGAATTACAAAAGCTGACTGAAATGCAAATTAGAATTACAGCAGCCGATTGAAATGTAAATTAGAAAGTTAAAAGAATGAACTCACATTTGATGTAATCGAGGCAAAAGGGGATGACTAAGGAGAAACGATCAAATAAACCAGTGTTTTTGCCTCCTGGCCACATATTCTCCACCTGAAACATGCTCCAAATACCAAATTTTGTCAGTGAATAATCTAATCATAAGCATGTTAAATGAAAATGACCTAATTTTTTGGGTGCAAACACATATTATCTGACCTTGACAGAGAATGGACAGTGTGTGACTAAGTAATTCAGCTGAGCAGCGATGATGGGAGGAATAGAATCGATCGCCATGGTAGCACTGAATCGTCGGAAGTTTACACAATTTGCTTTTGTTCCCGTCGGAGTTTAACCGGTTCTTCTTTTGATCCGGCGACGAACCGATGGATATTGGATAGGCCTTAATCTGATAATAACTCGTTGGGCCTATTTTTCTAATTATGGGCCTCTAGAACTAACATTTAAGCCCAATTGAAATTATTGAGGTTAAAATGGTAAATTCAACTTCGTAATTGAAACCCTAAAGAATGAAGCTCCAACACTATAAATATAGTTCGATTATCTCCTCCTTCAATCGTGCTCATTGTTTATCAGTGCTTTTTCATGGCGGAAAATTGTTCTTTTTGAGATTCAATTTTTCGGTATTCTCTGTGTTTTATTAATTTTCGTTTGCTGTAAATTTTTTCTCTTTTTATTGTGGTGAAACCGAGTGATGATTTTGGATTAATATTCTCACGACGGTCGTCTGAGGTACCTTTTGTGTACCTGACTGATGTTAATATCCAAATTTTCTGATGGTTTTTTATTTCTTCAGTGAAAGAATTATTATTTTTGTTGTTTAAATAAAAAAATTTGCTAAATTTTGTTTTCAAAGTTGTGGTTTTTACAAAGCGAGCATAATGATGATAAAAAAGTCAATTCCGATTATTTATGAAGAATAACCAACCTCCTACTCATTCTGAATGCTCGCCTTTATTTCTACTTTAATTTTCCCTTTGATTTAACTCTGGTCATTTTTGCAAAATCTATACGAATATCCTTTTCCATTTGATTTGACTCTGATCATTTTTGCAAAAACTATACGAATATTCATTCAATTCTGAATTGATTGTGAGCACGATGAGGATAAACATGTATGAGGTCGATAGATCATTGATATCATAATAATTTAACAATTAGTCCTTTTCATTCTGAGTGCTTCTTAGGTTAGTTTTATAATTTAACCTGTGAAAGTGTGTATAAGGGAAAGGGTCTGGAGTTTGACTCTTTGGCAACTGAAATAGCCATGCCTTAGGGATGAATGCAGAACCCTATATCAAACATTATTTCCTTCTGTTGAATTCTGGTAGGCTTATTTGATAAACCTACTGGAACATCTTGGAGTGAAATACTTACATATTAACTAATTTATTGTATTTTATTTATGTAAAGAAAGTCACCCAAAAAACGGGGTGAACAGGAGAGAAGGAGAGGGGAAGCAAACAAGAGAGAGAAAATAAATTAGAAAATAGTTTATTTTTTTAAGTTTTGACTATATAATGCCAATTGTTTGGGGATGCCTTTGTCAAACCTAATATAAAGTTATAAATTTACCAATTCTTCGTGTGTTGTCATCTAGTGTCATTTTCTCCAAATTGAACTCGGAGAAAAAAACCCAAATCAAATGAATTAATTTGTTCCAACTCTAGTTTACTTGAAAAATGTAAAGTCATTTGAAATATATAGTTACTTGTACAATAGGAGTAAACTTATATAAGATTAATACTCGTTTTATGAGAGATATTATTTTATGTTATTTTGAACATTTCACTAAAGTTCATTAATAGTGCAAAGTAAACATAGGACACAAATTTGTCACGATCCGGATTTTTCACTCTCGAGAGTCGTGATGACTCATACTCGTGAAAGCTAGGCAAGCCGAATATTATAAAATTATTACACTTTTTATTAAATATATTCGACAATTTAAAATAATAAGTGATTAAACAGCGGAATAAATTAAGTAACTAGAATGCGGAAGACGAAAAACTTAATAATTCAACCAAACACTGCTACATAATCTGAAGTACAATACTATCCAGAATTTGGTGTCACAAGTCACGGACTATCTAAGAATACTATAAATAAGATTTGAATAGAAATACAAAAGTTTGTCTCTGAAAAGTAAAAACAGAAAGAGAAAAGATAGGAGGAGACGTCAAAGCTCACGGACGTCTGCAGGACTACCTCGGGTCGCCTGAATGGACTGAAGACAGCACCCTCACTACGGTCCAAATGCTCCGGTATCAGTATCTGCACACAGTGCAGAGTGTAGTATCAGCACAACCGTCCTCATGTACTGGTAAGTGCCTAGCCTAACCTCGGCGAAGTAGTGACGAGGCTAGGACCAGACTACCAAATAATCCTATGCAGTTAAATCATATACAACGGAAATAGAAGCAAATAATTACAGCTAAAGTTGTGAGGGAGAAACATGCTGTGGGGAGTAACAGATAATAACAGAATAACAGTAGAGAAATGTAAGGAACGTCATAAATCAATTACCAGCAAAAGATAAGGAAATAAGAAGAACAAGTACACATGTAATACCGTTGCAGGCGTGCAACCCGATCCCATTTCATATAGTACCGTTGCAGGCATGCAACCTGCTCCCATTTCATATAGTACTGTTGCAGGCGTGCAACCTGCTCCCATTTCATATAGTACCGTTGCAGGCATGCAACCTGCTCCCATTTCATATAGTACCGTTGCGGGCGCGCAACCCGTTCCCATTTCATATATTACCGTTGAAGGCGTGCAACCCGCTCCCATTTCATATATTACCATTGCAGGCGTGCAACTCGATCTCATTTCATGTATTACTGTTGCAGGCGTGCAACCTGCTCCCATTTCATATATTACCATTGCAGGCGTGCAACTCGATCTCATTTCATGTATTACTGTTGCAGGCGTGCAACTCGCTCCTATTTCATTTATCAACACCAATCATAAAAGAATCCTAGCAAAGGAACAATAGCATAATAACAATATCCCGGCAAGGGAACAATAATATCACAACAACATCCCGGCAAGGGAACAATAATATAATTCTCATATGAAGCATGAATAAACCACAATGGAGTCATAAAAATTACAATACAAGACTCACGGGCATGCATGACACTGACGTATAAATACTCGTCACCATGCCTATATGTCATACTCCACAGTTAACACGTAGCAAACAAGACACGACTCCTAATCCCTCAAGCTAAGGTTAGGCCAAACACTTACCTCAAACTTCCACGGTCAACTCAAGCCTCAAACGCCACTTTTCCTTTAAAATTCGCCTCCAAGTTACTTGTATCTAGTCCAAATTAATATAACAACATAAATAAATGCTAAATAATTCAATCTCAATGCTAAATTATAGGTTTTCAATCATTTTTCCCAAAAAAATCAAAAATCGACCATGGGCCCGCCTTGGTCAAAACACGAGGTTCGGACCAAAACCCGATCATCCATTCACCCACGAGCCCGAATATGTAATTAGTTTCGGAATTCGACCCCAAAATGAGGTCTAAATTTCAATTATTCAAAAAGCCTTAACTCTACCCAAATCCCCAATTTTCTACTCTTAAGAACATGATTTAGGCCTAGAAATCTAATGGGTGTTAATGGAAATTGAAGAAAACAAGTCTAAGAACACATATATATGTTTTTGTGGTGAAATCCCTCTTCAAAAATCACCCAAGTTCAAGTTTAAGTGAAAAAGTTATGAAGTTTTGAAGAAATCCTGTTTTGCAACTGTTTAAAATAACTGGGCAGGGAACCTATGCGTTCGCACATGATTGGATGCGTTCGCATAGAACAAATGGTGACCCCCAGAATTAACTCTATGATATCGCGGACCTAGCTATGTAATCGCATAGAATAAATGATGACCCCCAGAATTAACTCTATGCTATCGCGGACCTAGCTATTCAATCGCATAGAACAAAAACCTCGACACCAGCAAACAACAAAAACACCAGATTTTCTAAGTTTGAATCACCCCCGACGCCTATCCGAAACTCACCCGAGCCCTCGGGGCTCTAAACCAAACATGCACGCAAGTCTAAAAGCATCATACGGACTTGCTCGTGCGATCAAATCGCCAAAATAACATCTTAAACAACGAATTTAGCATAGAAATCTAAGAAAAGTCTCAAAACTTTCAAAGTATTAAATTTCACAACTACGGGTCCAAATCACATCAAACGACTTCCGTTTCTTACCAAATTTCACAGACGCGTCTTAAATGTCATATTGAACCTGTATCGGGATCCGGAACCAAAATACGGGCCCCATACCATAAATTTCAAATATAGTCAAATTTCCAAAAACTCTTATATTTTCAGTAAAATAATTTCTTTCAAAAATTCATTTCTCGGGCTTAGGACCTTGGAATTCGATTCCGGGGATACACCAAAGTCCCATATTTTCCTACGGAACCTCCGGGATCGTCAAATTACAGGTTCGAGTCCGTTTACTCAAAATGTTGACCGAAGTCAACTTAAATTTAATTTTAAAGGACAAATTAATATTTTCATCACATTTTCACATAAAAGCATTCCGGATATACATCCGGACCGCGCACGCAAATAGTAGTGAGGAAAAAGAAGGCTTCTAAGGCCTCGGAACACAAAATTTACTCGTAAATCAAGTGATGACCTTTTGGGTCATCACAAAATTAAAATCACTTCTACAAACTCAAACTCACAACTCATAACTCATAATTAGCCATCCACTTACGCTATTGGTTGCAAATACTGTTTAACTCAATTATAATAAATTTGCTCCTTGTCACTTCGAGTTCGTTGCTTCATTTGGCAAACGACGAGTACTCTTAAATTTAGACATCATATATTCCTATTGCATTAAAATCAACCTCATCTTAAGAGCGTCAAATGTATAATTTGTGTTGATGTCTAAGTAAAGAAAGTCATTTGTTTTATTTGTTTAAGAAAGTATTGAGCTTTATGGTCAAATTCATTGTCTCAAGTTTTACTTTGCTTTGTTATTATCAATCTTCGTCTCTTAATTGTCTATATTCATTGATCAATATTTCATCGTTTGGCAAGTACACACCAACATTATCCCCAGGGTGTTAATTTTTAAAATACAGGCAGGCTTCTCAAAAGTCATACCTAGTATTGAGGGGCAGAGCTAGGGGCGAAAACAGGTTCGATTGGAAAATTATATTGTGTGTATATGTGTGTGTGTGTGTGTGTATATATATATATATTCTTAGTTTCTTTGCGTGCTTATTTTTTATATTTTTTTTAATTCCCTTAATGAAAATTGTGTCTCGGGCCCTATTAGTATTTGTTTTTATGAATGAAGTTGAGTTTTGAGTATGGAATTCCTAGAAATGTGGCTGTTGTT